CCAAGCACTTGGATTAGTATAAGATGGGCGAACAAGAGCAGTGAAGCATCGTGTTCTAGCCACGATTGAAGTTGTGAGTATTCGGATTTATGATGTTTATTTTTCGCATCAAGCTGACATTTCGGCATCAAAATTGTCTTTATCTGAGATGTTTCTACTCAGAATCGATCGTCCTACCCGTGGTGGTGGTGTTCTACTCTACTATCGAAACAATCTCGATTGCGAGCAAATCTTCCCTCCAGTTTCGACACCTGACACTCTGTGGTGTAGGTTGAAATTGTCCAAACATGATGATTGTTTGATTGGCGTAGTCTATCGTCCACAATCATCCCGGGAGATGGCTAACGAAACTCCACCACCATGTTTGGAAACATACAGTCGTCATCCATACTGGATTTAGTGTTGACCAATGAGGGGCTGATGGTACAATCTGCCAACATGACTTCTCCCCTAGGACGCAGCCATCACGTAGTACCTACATTCAAATATGTTTGTTACACCTTCTATTCAAGGAAGTCCCCCAGGTAACACACGCAGATCCGTAGACTACACACTGCTGAACAACTTGGCACCCTCTACTCAGTGGGTTTCCTATGACGACGAACCCAATCCGACCAACGGATTGGGCAGAAATTTATTGACAGTCTTGCAAGCCTAATGACATCAGTGACTAAGAATAGAGTAATTACCAAATCCAGCATCCGAAATTCACCTTTTCGAAGATGCAAGAGGAAATGGCTACCAATGAGAGACTTATCCTGTCGAGATTATGAACATCTTCCGAATGTTGTCACGTGGAATAATTATCGTATGCTGAGGAACCACTTCGCCAGGATAAACTGAAGTACCAAGAGGCACAACCACAGAGATTCATTTCTAACCCTAAGCTGTTGTACAAGCACGTTAACTCCATTCTGAAAGTAAACTTTCGTATACTGGCACTAAGTAGCGCTGGAAGAGTTGCAGCCCCTCCAACGGAAGAAGGTGAAATATTGAAAACTCAGTATTCCAACGTTTTCGCAGCACCGCAGGTTGAAGGTCTACAACTACCTCCCCGGTGGCATCATCTTTCATATCCTTCACTGAGCTACGTTTCATTGAAAACGTCAAAGCAAAACTAATGGCTTTGCGAACAATTTACACCCAAAATCCCTGATATTTTTGGCGAATCACATTTACCAACCATTCTGTTTCAACGAATGTTAGACCAAGAAATACTCTCAGAACCATGGAAACAAGGAGTCACTTCACCCATATACCAAAGATGGTTGTCCTAGTGACTCCGCTAACTACTGACCTGTAACCCTGCTTCCGGTGTTATCGAAAGTCATGGAGTCAGATGTGGCAGATTCTCTGATGAAGCATCTCGAAAGATACAACATTCTTTTGACAGCTCAACACGGGTTCAGGCATAAGCGATCCTGCTCCACCAACCTGCTTCTTCTCGAGATGAATCGACCAGAACAGTCGACGAGGGGATGCGATGGATGTGATTTATCTCGACTTCTCGAAAGCAGTTGATCGGGTAAATCACCAAATTTTGTTACAGAAGCTCTAGAATTACGGCGTTCAAGATTTCGTGTTTTATTTGATTAGAGCATTCCTCCAACAACGGACCATATCAGTCCGTATTTCTGATTCCACATCCGGATCTATCAGTGCCACCCGCGGTGTCCCACAAGGGTCCGTACTTGGTCTCCGTCTGTTTCCCGCATTCATAAACGGTCTACCGAAAGTGTTAGGTCCAAAAACAATACTGTTTGTAGACGACGCCAAAATATGGAATACAGTAACAGAACCCGAGGGCTCTCTAACACTTCAAAATTACTTACCACAGCTTATCAATGGTCTAAGGAGAACGACGTTGAATTTAATGTTTCCAAATGCAAAGCCCTATCCCTACGCCACAAGAGAAGATTCTCGTATTTCCTCGGAAATCATCTGCTACCACATACTTCATTGAAAAGGACTTAGGCATTGTTGTTCAAGAGGACTTAAGCTGCTCGATCAATTGCGCTAAGACTTCGTCCACTGCTGTGAAGAACATCGGCTTACTTAGGCGAGTCTTTGGCCTGTTTGAATCAGCACTGTTCCCACGTTTGCTACCAGTGAACATTTGACCGTGCACAGAGTAAGTCATCCAAGCTTGGAATCCATAGTTGCAACGTGATCGCAAGATGCTTGAGTGCCCACAAAGGATGATCATCAAATGGTCAAGGGATTGCAGTACCTTACCTATGAGGAAAGATTACGAGCATTAGGACTATATTCTGCTCAGTACGGCCGAATTCGGAGAGACTTGATTTTGGCATATCAAATACTGCAGAACCCAAAGCATTCATGTCGGCAGCTACACATGTTGTCATGCAACATAAGCCTTAGGGGACATCGTTTCAAGTTACTGATTTAATTGTCTACCGGAATGCCGGCGCCAATTTTTTGCCGTCAGGGTATACAGTACTTGGAATGCCCTTCTATCTCACGTCGTTTGTGCACTTACTATTGAATCTTTCAAGCAGAGACTAGATAAAACCTTGGTACACCTTACATTATTACACTACTTAATGTAAACGCAAATTCAATGAAGCCTAAATTCTTTATTATCTCCTACCTGGAACTCCATGTGACTTCTTTTTCGGCGTGAAACGATTCAAATGTGTAACTAGCCTATGGGAACAAGAGAAGCACGAGCTTGTAGGTTATTCCCATAATAAAATTTTGACTTTGAGAAGACACTAGTAGCGAGATGTTAACATTTGGTTTGATTTTCTCAATCGCAGACGTAAAATAAACAGGCACATTTGGTTGATAAACCCTAGTGAACGAACATGTTTAGATAGACTGAGTCTGTTAAAATTACGAACGAGGAAGTTTTCTTCTTCTCGCATCGTGTCTCTGGGAAAATCTTTTCTGACCTGATTGAACAAATGTTTTACAAATCCACGCTTTTAAATTATGAGTGAGAAGCTAGAGAACAGTTAATACTGACCGCTCCATGTTGCTTTTCGGTAAACAGAATGTTGCAATCTATTCAAATATTCAAAAATGCTAACGAATCATCGGTTTTCTTTTCGTATGATTGAGGTAGATGTGTATGAACAAATTCAAATTGTTTCAAAAGGGATTCCAAATGTTCACGCTCCGTACAAGGTGAACTGGGAGATATCATGGGCAAGCATTTGTTCAGTCATTCCGAAAGATATATCTACTAGAATTGGGCTTAAAGGACTTTCCATGTCTACCCCATCGATCTGTATGTATGTGGTTCCTCCAGATTCTAAACGAACGTTTTCAGGATACAAAAATATTAGTTTTCTCAAGTATTCAAGAGAGTTAGCATGGGAAAAATTACCTGACGAAATATAATCACATAGAAAATACCTACTGTTTTCTGAATGACCTTTCACCCACAACGGCAGAAAACTTTCGTCCACGGGGATTTACCAACCGAAGCGCATGATGCGTGGAATCCGATACGAGTCACCAACAGCTACAAAGAAGGCATTAATCGAAGTGGTTGAAGGTTTACCCGCTTCGGCACGGTAGAGCTCTTCCACCAAATGATTGAAGCGCATGTAACTGTGCGTGAAAACCGATGGAGAATACTCCTGGAAAATGTAATGCTTTTTTGTTTGACAAATAAAACATTTTGTGCATCCGGAAATGTTTTGCTCAGCCCTCGTATGTGTCTATTTATTTTACGTCAGTAACTGGGAAGATTAAACGAAATCTCGCTACATGTGTCTTCTTTTGGTCTAGATGCGACAGATAAAGAGTACTCACTGTTTCAAATGTTTATTTTTCCCAAAACAGTGGACAGTATTCTAGTATTCATTCCTAACCTAGATATCCTGAGCAGATATACATTGCAAAACCACACATTCAACATCGGCATCTCAAAAGTGGGAACTTGTGACCTAATAGCCCGGGAGAACGAAACCGAAAGTGGAGGATTACCAATCTTGTGCACTTCATCCAGTGTGTTTTAATTAACACGTCTGTTTGTAACTCTATACTGTTTTCTTATAACTCTTCAAACTACGTTTTTTAGGTCACATCGGACTTCTGTGATACCATACGGGTTATATCTTTTGAATTTAATGTTTATGTTTGTTGACTGCTTGCGAAGAGAACCGAAATTTTCTCGCCTCAAGTAGGCAGCCCAAATTTGATCTCAATTAACAATCTAAATTTCGACCATCATGTCTTTTCTACTATTTGATATAGTGCCCTCGCCAGACGATGGACTGTTGAATGAGTTTTGAGTAGTGCCGTGTATCATAATGGAGAATTAACGATCTAACTGATTTTTCGATGATATACAAATAACTTTGAAATAATATTCTGCTCAGAAACTTTTATTTGATTATGTTGACAAATTACTACTTTTTGAAGAAAGTGTTTTGAAGACGAATGAGAAAATTGAATGTGTTGATGTTTAGTTCTGTAGAAGATTCATTATAAACAGATTGTTTCGGCTGCAATGGAAATATTTATGATAACCAACAAAGAGCACTGGACAGCTGTTTCATCCTGTTTGGGACTCATCAGTAGTGCGTACTTTGTTTGTCCCTGTCAGGACTCCAACCGCGAACACTCGAGTTGGAAGTTCAAACGCTTACCCTTGAAATACACAGTTGACAACCATCACCTTGTTCAAATGGCTCAATCAATTAAGAGTAACAAGTTTGGATGAGCCCTTTCGATTGTTCAGAGACACCAGACCCTTTTGATAATCAATCAAAATTTGACTCAAGTGTGCTTACGATGTATAACTATTATTATTGAATGGATCGGATTCAGATTTTTGATCAAAATGTTTATACTTGGGATGGATAGACATCTCCGGTATTATTAGCCTAAATCCGATGCGTATTGAAACAAATGAACGTCTGTTAACAAGTAGCTCATCGATGTTTGATCTTAGCTAGCACTGTGAGTTTCCGCCATAGTGTATTTTCAACTTTGCGAGATAAATCAATCGGACGATATCGAAATTGTCAACGATTTTCGAGTAGATCGGGTGNAACCAGCGTGAACATGTCCGCCAGTTGTGCCTGTTGAATCAAATTCTCCATCAGTCCGGAAGATGTTTCGTGCCACTCATTTGCACGATGCCATATCCGTTCCCATTCAGTGGTGAATCCAGTCATGTCCCATGCGCGTCTACTCTTCTGTCCGACGCGAGTTGGAGCCACGGAGAGACGGGGAAAAGCCAAACCGACAATGCCTGCCCAACTGGAAAGATTGTGCGGAAGAAAGAAATTGCGACTTTTCTTGATCACCGCTAACTGGACTGGGAATACTATTTTCGTTTCCGTCGTATCGTTTGCAGATTTGAAATCTGGAGAAAAATTACCGTGAAAATCATTAGAAAAGCACGTATACTTATTCAAACAGAAATGGTCATGGGCAATACTTTCGTTATTGTAGGTCGAACAGCTGAAATTTTGCCAAAAACCAGGAGAGCATGATGGGAGCCTTAAAGGAACCGGAGTGCCGGCAACTGTATAACGTCATCTGTAGCTCGAGTACATGTGACGTGAACAAGATGAGACATTTATCAATTGTTATTAGGTAACAGATGTTACCATTTGCGAATGTCCATCAATGCGCATCCGGTAACGTGGTTCACATAACATAGTGATTCTCTCACAGTTAGTTGCACGTGTACCTTCCGAACTACATCGTACCAAAAGCCTACAAAGAAGCTCGGTACCGAGGTGCGACTACTATTGAGTATACTAAAATGAGTTTATTTGTATTCAGTCTCTAAGCGGACTGCGCTTGGACAGCAGTCACCCTCGCCTAGATGGGAACTAGTTCTATCAAGTGTGCTATTGTAAACGAAATTATTAAATGCTCTTTAACGCTCTCTAACGGGATGGACACTTTTAACATCAAGCTTTATACAATACCCACAGAAGATGTCATGGCACTCTTCTTTGTTTAGCCTCCTGCACTGAAAGAACTGATATGGAAGAATAAAATGCAAAAGTTGTTTATACAAGTTTAAACGATGAACGAACCTAGGATACAAATTTTGAGGTATTGGGAAAGACTTCTTGTCTGTAAAAGAAAGCCTTTTTGCACAGGTGCGTTCAATGGGTCATCCCGTTCTCAAGCGCCTGGTTACATAACCTTATGGGTAGATGGGAATGATCAATCCCATCACAAATTGCTTGTTATTTTCTTAAACCCCTGAGTACATGAGCAGTTCTGTTTGGAGGGATCGTTAGCGTTTGAGGCACCCATTGCATCAACCCGGAAAATTCAATTCTAGCCCACCACGGTGACTCGACTTCAAACCAATCTTCACAGACGAGGTGCCATTACAATCATGGTGTGCCAAGAACAATGGGCAATAAACATTTGCTTTATGTATATCCATAGGCAGCGCTCGACAGGTTCCATCCCTCTCCCCTCTTAACTCCTGAAATCTGAAAGCACCATAGTATCAAACAAAAGAAAGCATAAGTTTTCAAAATGATCAGTATTCTCCCTTCTTGTTTCTCCTAACCACCAGCTCACCTGACTCTTGAGCTCGCGTCTACCGATAGATAAATAATGCATTAAATTATCTTACGAGATTACCTTTGAAACCAGAGTTACTTGGAAATAGGTATCAGTCAGACGAAGTAACTGCATTATTTGCAAACTAATCCTGCGTTCTTTTTGCTTGGAAATCGAGTCTCTTTATTTTTTGTTGGTAGTTTTTTTTATTGTTCAGCCGTCTAGAATTGATTCAGAACTCACCAAGCAGACCTATTTCTGCGGTAGACAACTTGCGATTGAACTAAAATACCCGACAAATAAGTGCCTAAATGTATTCAATTCAGCACTAATTCAACAGCAGAGATCTCCGGTCGAAAATTATTCAACAAACAAGAACCTAATAACCGCACACGCTTGGTGAATTTGTATGAATACTTGTAAAGCTGATAGTGGCTTTTTCAGCTAACGTCATAGATTTATAATATTTTGTTCTATCTGTTTTCAATTTCTTGGAAGTTCGTTACGCCGGTTTTTGGTATCAAGAATGGTTTACCAAAATCATGAAATTTACCTGAAGGTAAAACCAGCGGGAAAAAACTGTTGCCCGCCTTTGAACTGATTTCCCGATATAAGCCACACTATAGCGATATGCGTTCGGGAGAGTAGATAAAAGGTACTTTAAACTAACTTGACCTGTTAGGAGCATGTTTGAAAAAATTACTGCTGGACACTAATGAAAACAATCATGTTATAATGTATCTATCTATCTATCTATGATTATGCATTACATTTGCAATAACTGACACTTCTTATGATCCTATTCAAATGTGTATCCACCCACCTTCACTCACCGAAAAGTAACGCATGTAGTGTAAATGGTAAACTAAACAAATTCAAAGTTTTCGGCACTGTGTACCATTTTAAACCCAATCACTGGTTGTTTGCTGTGCAGAAACCATGATCAGTCTAACACACAAGTATGAAAAATAATTGATCAATTATAGTTGATTAAGGTCAAAAGGTTGATTACCTGATGCCTTTAACAATGAAAAATGCACAAACTCTGTGCACACGTGCCCGGTCCATGTGCCCTGCTGATACTGAACGCGTTGAATGTATTCGGTACAGTTCAAAGAGGAAGACAGAGATGGTTGGAACCAATGGTCGATGTTGCGCAGTTTTTTCCCCGCCACAGCCAAGTCACTGCTTCCAGTATCCACAAGAAGATTTACCTGTGACGTGCGGGGCACAAATTAAGTATTACAATGTGTAATGAAGCAAATTTATGACATATAAGGCAATTTGCAATCTAATTATATGCATGTGTGAATAATTTTAACTATACAACGAGTTTGGTTCTGGGCTCACAGAACAATCGGGACTACAATATTTTGTGCTCTCACTGCATCCCATAACACTTGACACTTGGCTTTTGTTTCTGATAGACAGAGAGTTAGTGTATTTTATTAGATGTTTTGCATCATAGCTGGATAAGCCTTGTGTATGTATTTCTAGTATTCGGCTTTAGGTAAACATATTGTCCAACACATCTAGTGCCCACCTAGTCGATGTAACAGATTTCATGTTATTCGCCGCTTTACAGAGGCTATAACAGCTACATTATATATTCTATTAGTGAAAAACATCCGTAATCTAAATTGGCATCTTCTCTGTCTGATATGGTGATCTCTCATAGCAGTGGATAAGATCAGCAAAAAATCAGTCAAGATTTTGAGCAGACAAATCTCTGACAACCTTCAAAGTTTCCCTTTGTTCCCTTATTTGTTCATCTATCAGGAAGAACGGCCAGAGGTTTGTGAGTTGCATAATTTTCTCAAGTAGGAATATTCTCTCGAGACAGTATTTCTTCTTGCAGTACGATGCTCACGCCTGAATACAAAATTCTAGATGTCGAAAAACAATAGCTATTTAACGATGTTGGAATATTTCTGGCCTTTTACAAATCACGACGCATATGACCCAAAGAGTTTTCGTCCGGCTTTATTTACAGCTCCATGGCAGTATAAAGAATAATAAAAATCAGTCATACTTTTTACTTCGAAGTCCATTTCTTGAGTAATTTCAAAATCTTGCTTAAGGCTTTTACTAGATAACTTAACATCATTAATAAAGATCAATCAAAACATTTGAAGATCCCAGGCCAGCCTGTTGATGGGTCTAGTATCGTTCCTGTGGTATACCGCTGACAATCTTCAGTTTGGTTGCATAAGCTCTAAAAGCTCGCGATAAATGTGCAACAGTTGAGGGACTTTACTAACCTCAGTGAGCTTAACTGGCTTTGAGAGAACTAACAGCACTCCTTCATTTTGTCTGTAATCTACCATACTTTGTCTTTCCGCTTATAGTTCCTTCCTTTCGAGTAAGTAAATGTCAACCTTTAAAAATACGGGTCGAACTGTCCATGGCCTACAAAGGAGCTAAAAGGTAAGCAGTAAAGTTTGATTTTTTAATTTTCCACAATTTGATGTTTCTTTTTTCTTTGGTTTTTTGCTAGAACCATGTGAAACACCTTCTCGTAACTGATTTAATCTAGTACCTTAGCACTTAACTTTTTCAACCAATGAAAAACTTATTCTTTGGAGCTGCAGTTTGGAAGCCCGTATGTCATAATTAAAGCCAAATACGAATACTGGTACTGCGTTGCTTCAATCCACGCCGCCATTTATTTCCGTCAAACTACTTTTATATCTGATAGTGAAGAACTAGGGGATGGATGCAGTTCAGCCATTTGTAGATTGCATTTGTCATCTCCGATGGTGCAGTGAACATTAAAGGAAGTATAACGACTTCTGATATATATTTCATAACTCCATGGTTACACAAGTGATACTTTCACCATGCGCTACCCAGATAGTTATACTCTAAAACGGGTTAATTTTGATTATTATATATACACGCTGCCTACATTTGGCGGCTATAGGACAACACAGCACAAACAGTGGTGCTGTAAACACAGTTGGGAAAACGGACTGCGTTCCACTCGCACCAGAAGTACCTTAGATTATCAAATGACTGATTTCATGCAATCATTGGGGTATTAAGGGTCTTCACTCACTTTTAAATGGCGAATATCCAAAAATAGTATAAATATAAACATAGCCTGATCTTTTGACAGTAAGTTGCGCTCCAAAATTGCAAAGCATACACCGCACAGAGAAATCTCAATGTTTAAGAGGTTCGTTGCGTCTTGCATGACAAGACAAAATCATGAGCATACTCCAAGTTCACGGGGTTGTCTAGAGAAAGATGCCCAATGCAAGAGTTTGGTTTTCCATTTCGCCTGTTCGCCGAGTTTGGTAACTTGTTTGCATACGTTTCAACACGAAACAAACAAATTGCTAAGCTGGGCGAATAGGCGAAATAGAATTCAGTTCACCCGAGCTTTGAGAACCGATTTTTAATACTTTGTCAAGAGTTTGGTATTCTAATTAACGGCTTTTGATGATATTTTATACAGGCGAATTTAGGAGTAGTACAGAGATAAGACGCATCTACGATAGCCCACTGATGAGTAAAAAAAGAGAATGAGATTGCCACAAGTTATAAAACCAACGGAAATCTCATTATAGATTTTAGTTAAGAAATCCTCAACAACAGTTCATAGGAGCTCATTTAATAGCACCCGTGGTGTTATCAAAATAATGCAAAACTTGCATTTGTCAAGCTGTGGCTATTGGCGGTAAACATTGCACGTATTAATTTATTTGACACTTTGAGTTTTGTGTTGCAAATAAGCTACAACTTGTTTTTACATTCAGTAATTTAGGCTTTTAACGTTTATTAAGAAATCCTATTCACACTTTTAACAGATGCTGGTACTTTAGATACAAAGGATCCTGTTTTCTCATTTGATGGAGCTTAGCTACGCAGTCCCCCTTAATGTCCCAAGGTCTATGTTTCCATGGCGAAATACACGCGGCATGATAATAATTTAAGGTTGATAGAGATTACCAAAATATTTGTAATATTCAGGTTCTTATCCGATGCTCATTGTTTACTATGATGAAAAAGATCAATCAAAGAGCTTATGTGACTCACAGTAAAAGCTTCACCGAATAGCTTAAGTATGATGTTAATACAAGCGGACACAAAGCAGAACCAGAGAAATTCGATCACAGACAAAGTGCCTCTTTGAAATGCTAATCCCCAAAAGATTCTGTGCTTATGTGAATTCACTTGCAAAAGGTTTTCGTGCTCTCCAGGTTCCAGACAGACGCACTATCATTTTTTTGTGTAACTGTACGTATATCGGCCTCACGAGAAGAAACCCATCTACAAGATTTTGGAATAATCATTCCTCTTGGCTCAACACTTGTGCCATTAAAACTATTGCAAGAACCATTGTTTCACACCTTGTCAAATTCGAGCACACAGTGAGTGTGAATAAAGCATTTTAACCTCTCTACCGTGTTAGAGGTGGCCGCTCTAAGCTGATGTAAAATCGCATCCTAGTCACCACGGAGGCGGTTGTAATTCATCTACATAGTCCCCTTTTGTGCGCCCAAAACCGGATTTTGAAATCATTCAGCTTCTCATGGCCTCCCCTCTCCTCCTCCCCCTCCAATCCCAAATCACATGAGTAAAACAAGCCGAGTGTAAAATGATTCAATAGTAACATCCGCTATATCCGGTTTGTGGAACTGAGACTCATAAAAAAGTATCTCCATTTGAATATTCATTTGTTTTGTTTCCTTCTTACTTTACAAAATGCTGCTACAAAACATGAAAAAAAAACATGAAATATATTAGCCAGTTCATGAGTCATCAAAAACAAGCCCAATCGCTAAATCACGATTTCTTTCATTATAAGTTCTGATTACGGTTGTTTTCACTCAAAACATGAGAGATCATAGCTTCAGGCTAGAATGAAATTTCATTGAGTGGAGGTTGGGCTCAATTAGTCGCAGACAGATCCATAACTATACCGACTGCGCATGTGTCCACAGCTTTAAGATTGCACCGCGTGCATGCTTGAACATAGCATTTCCAGAGGCCGACATTTAAATTAAGAAATGTTTTTAACCAACGGATTGGACTGTTTAGGTAGATTCGCACGGGCCTTTAACGCATCACTGGAAGAAACATAAGGTGAGTTTTTACCAAAGAAATCCCGATGGAAGATAACATCACAACGTCCCCTGTAGCACAAGAACGGAAACACGAATTTTCCACCAAGGAGGTAAGAAGCTACCTCTTTTTAACTCTAATTCATTTGAGTCTTCAAAAGCAACCATGTTTCATAAATAGAACCTTGAAGACGATGATTGTAAGGAATTTCTTGACATGCAATCGTAGTAAGCAACAACATCTGTTAAAAACACAACAACATGTGATATTAGCATTGGTTACAATTAGTCTATTCAAGAGGTAACTGAACTGATTTTGATATAATTCACAAATGTGTGTATTGCGTTTATATAAACGCAATAAAAGTGATGTACCTGATACCTTAGACTGGTATTTTGGGTTAACCAAAAAGTATTACTTTCTTATACTATTATATATATCAGCCTTTATTTTATACATATACATTTGCTTTTAATAAACTATATGGTGTTACATATTCTTATGTGACAGTCATCCCATTACAGTTTCATTAATTCCTATTTGGATCCCGTTGGAATCATGTGAGATTTGTATCACAGTTAAAAATTTGCTTATTCAAACTGGATTCTTCGACCCAAAGGAACTTAAATGGGAATTATATGAAATTCCTCTAGAACTCTTTTGTGATTATTTTTATGGTAAAAGCTCAAGTGATACTCAGTTGGTACCACTTACCGTAAACAATACAATAAAATGCAATAGCTGCATTATACAGCACTTAGAATTGCTCTGCGAATTAGTTATTATCATGTATACTTATAGCGAATTTTGTTCTGTACAGTTTGGGCTGAAAATTGTATATGTATGAAGTATATGTAACAGAAAGGTTACAGTGGTGATTTGCGCAGGCAGTAAGCACACTTCTGAAAGAGATCTGAATGATCTATTGGCCGTGACGATTACAGGTTCTGTGCAAACCAACCTGACTTGGCCCAATGTAGCCGCAGTTTTCAGCTAAAACCTTCGGCATATATCTTGAAATCAAAAGGCTGATAGGTGTGTAACTAAATTTCTGATCGTGCCAAAAACTTAGATATATTTAGTGATATGTATACCACCATATAATTGCCCAGCTAACAAAGTGCGACGGATGAAAGTTCTGCTTGAGTCCTGTTGTGACTCTATCGTTGGAAATTGTTCCAGTTGAGTACTTGTGAATCTTAATTGGCCTCTATTTTAATAACAGTCTCGCTGTAAACCCATGGGAGCTCCGGCTGGACTCTCTGTGAAAAATCTTCTTGCCTCAGTCATATTGGAATGCCGTTGGAACTGTCTGAATGACATAAATTTAAGTAACTTCTTTCACTACTTTGTCATTTTTGTTGGCTTTTCAATTTTATTGAAAAATTTGTCAATAATAACAGTAAATCTAAGAACCTGGATATATCATATGAATTAAATGGACCTGGGTTGATAGTCTTAATTAATGATTGACAACCAGCTACGTTTGAAACTGAACTGGATTTTCATTTGTTTTGGTGCACTTCAATTATTTTCCTCAGAATCTGACCGCAGCCACTTTGATTCCTTATTCAACCATCATTTGATGTAAGTGTCCGATGTATTTTATGTTCAGTTCAAGTAAACGTTAATCGTGGGCAATGGGTTTTACCGTTTTCTGTTCACGTGTCTGATTCCTTTGGCTTTCCGTATTAATAATTGATCTTTATTCTATAAAGAAGTGTAATAAATTCATTTCAGGGTTTTCGTGCACCATGAATTGGCGGTTAGTGAACATTTCTCTTAATACTTATATTTTATTGACACATCTGATAGATCTACTGCTTCTTTTGTTACACGGAAAATCGCTCTTAGGGCACGCTTGCCGATGATTGTAGTTAAAATACTACTGGAAGAAATGTGGACTGTCATACTGCAGCTACCATCGGATCCTAGCAATTTCTTTTCAACTTTAAGGATCTCTCTGTAGATCAGTTTTGGAGAGGGCACTCATATCCACTTTGGTCTTTCAGAGTGCATCAAGTGTATGCCTGTAGGCTGTGCACCATCCACTGAAAGTGCTATGCAGTTGCAGCCTCAGACAAATAGGTAAACAGTGTTTCGTGGATCATTACAACACGTCTGGTCCTTTTTGATTCGTCTGGTGAAACCAGATTCGAAGATATTCGCGGTCGGCCTTTATATTGGCATGTCTAAACCCACCAATTTGCATGCATGTTTATCGCAGTTGTGGGAGACTACAACTTTGCTCAAACCAGTTCTTTGTATTTTCATGTACCCCCGTCATTATTTGTTGGTGCCCTTTTTTCTTACCTTCCAGACGTGAACACTACCCGAAACGTTCTCTCTAAGCAATCCAATTTAGCCCTCAAAGACACCCTGAACAGTCGTCTCTATCCCCTCGATTGACCCCCTCTCCCGTTGTACAATGACTGATGAGCGGTTGATGTTCCCCCAACACACGCTATCTACCGGTCTGCATCTTCTCCTTTTCAAGGGTCGATTGAGAATACTAGCTTCTGACTGCTTTTGTACTGTGCAAGGATAATGCACCGATGTCTACTCCACGATCCGTTCTGGCTTGTACCCGTCCACATTCCGCATTCCTGTTGCACAGTTAATCAATGACCCACATCTTTTTCGGCCGAAGCATACTAAAATACTAAACCTGCTTCAACACATGTAAAGCTGCTTAGTGTCACTGTTGATGTCTCTTCAAAAGCATTGATCAAAAAGATTCAGCAACATGGTGGGTATTGCAGCTGTCTGCACCGCACTCAAAAACGTGTCAGCTGCAGAAGGCTTTTGGTGTTTCGGCCGGTTTAATAATGACATCATTCTGGACTATCCCGGTTTAAAAGGATATCCATGAATGTGATAGTTATCTTTCGAAGTGCATGCCATGTTCCTGGAGGTCACGAAACGCTATTGGCATAAATCCTGTGAAAACAGGAAGCTATGGCTCAGTTATATCTTGTGGAAACCACAGTAGATCATTTGCGGTTGGTGTGTGAACCTTTGACTAGTGAACTTCTCAGGCTCTGGCATTATCTAGAAACATTGACTTTTGGAAGTTCACTGAATACCGCCGGTTTCTTTTGTTCCTAGGACCGGTAGTTTTTCATGATCCACTACCAAAGTAATTATATGAGAAGCTTTACGTTTCCTGGCTAAAACTTACACCATATTTAGTTCAAAGTTTTCAGTGCATCATCTACAGTGGGCCATTTTTGTGAACTGGATAATTTTTGGCTCTTTTGTTTAATAGTTTTATGCAAACTATTTACCAACGTTTTGCTTCACAGAATATGCTTGTGGGGTAAGTATTCTGTTGAACTATTGAGTGTGCAGATTCTATGGTAGCAAACAAAACATTATTTTCTTTGACAACATCTCCAACACCACGCCACCTTCAGAGGTTAATGGGCAATGGAAGTTGTTCTATAACATATTGCTATTTAGCAAACATTTTAAATAAACAAATAACGTCCTACTGGATTAGTCTAAATAACTTGCTTAATATCCCAATCCAGGAAATCAAAAAGGAATTAGTTAAAACAGAAATAAATGTAGTAAATTTATATGCAGTTATTATAATAACTTTTTATTGCCTCGTCACGCAGCTTTGTTTGACTCCTATCGGTATTCTGTAAGAATACCACTTGGAACTCACTCAGAATAGCTTTATTTATCTTCAAGCTTATATTATAACGGATCAAAATGGAACGCAGTTGGGACTCAAATAGGACTCAATCGGACGAATGTGCTGCATGAGCATCACCCCTAAGTCAGTAGACGCGCATAATAGCATCACCAGAACGTCATCGCTTACAGAAAAAATGTGAGGTACTATGGTGAAATAAGATTCTTTTGACCAATTGTCACACTTAATCAGCAAATTATTTGAACTTAAAAACAATAGAATTAATCAATATTCATACATCCAGTTCCCTTTAGTAATTTTATAAAAGCAAGAGCAAGCATCGTCACAGGACAGGTTGAATTCAACTGTTTCACGTTATCTCTTCAGCTGTGTACAAACATTCATGTGGAAGTTCGATCAGGACAATCTTTAAACATCAAAAACACTCGACTAAGCAAAATCAGTTCGAAGGTCAGAGGTCACCAATCACAGTCAGGTTGAACAGGGGGATAGGGTGGGAGAACATGTTTATCGATCTGG